CACACCGAGGAAACACCACCATTTGGATACAAGTTAAGCATGACGAACAACATCAAGCAAACTCCTGCTTCTTAATAGTGGAAGTCAACCACTGAAATCCCGCTTGTGAATCGCGGGGCGTAGTTTTCTCGGAATTTATCACCCTGGTTGGAATCTTTGTTTGAAGAGAAGCCGAAAGGCAAAGGGCATCCCCTGCTTGTGTTGTTGCTTTTGAGGAAGTGGTTTGAGACACTCCCAAATGGGCACCCCTTATTTCTCGTTTCAAAATGGATATCACCCATTTGGTGTTGTCTCATTTTGAGGGCGATGTTTAAGCAGGGTTGCTCCGCGCCTCTAATCTAGAAGGTTATCAACACGAATAGGTTTGGCTTCCCTTGATTACCGTTTGTCGGGGGTTATTATCCTTGTGCCAGCCTTTCCAGCCCAACCCTGTTGAAGGGGCCCTATATGGAACACTTCGCATAGCTGTGTACTTGTTTGAGAGTGCACGGTAATCCTGTTTAGGGTTCGTGTTGCGGGGCTTGGAAACAAAGCCACGCTTTTTGGTCTCCAATCAGTGGTTTGATTCTTGTAGATGGGTGCTGGTGAGCTGTCGTTTAAATGAGGCTAGCCGTTTTGGGTGTGTCACCCCACTGCTCCGACGCTACCGCCCGTCGGTCCCAGACAGTAGGCATCACCTTCCAGATCCTTTAAGCTATGCACTTTGCAATTCCAGCCAAATTTGCCGGCACTGCGAATCAACCTCAGTCAGGTCAAGCGGGTATCATGCACATGAACCCACCATGGGATGTGTGAAGAAATTTGCCATGACTAAGCCATACGTAGCGCGCCAACAGGGCCACACGTTCCATCCAAACGGACGCTGGCACCACCCAGTTTCAAGCACACTTGTCCTGTGCTTTTTTTGTCTATGTTGGTCTTCCCAAGGTGTGTTTGGGCGGTTGCCGCTCTATTTCCGCCCGCAAGGCCGCAAGGTGGGCTTGGTCCTTGTGGCTCCTTGGCGCGCTCGCGAGCGGCGACGGGCAGGCCGGGGTTGGTGGCCGGGGAATGCAAAGACATGTGGAAGTTTCTCAATGTGGTGGACCTCCTTTTGCGCTTTTGGTGGGTAGTGAAAGGACGGACACCAACAGTTTTTGGAGATCCATATTTTGAGAAATCTCCATGTACTGACGGTTCCCTGTCTGGGAAAAGCGAGGCCTGCCTGGAAAAGTGCATTCCTCGAGAAGGGAATCGCTTCAACCTCATGTGGACTCCCGGGGCCCATGCCCAGCACATGAACCTTGGTCTTAGGGCTACATTTCGGTTGCCAAAGTGGGGATACAAACTGAACAGAACCATGTTTCACTGTGCTCAACAATGTTAACCCGTAGGGAACTCGCACAGGCCACCCCTTTTGTTTCCAAGCCGAGTGCTTGGGGGAGTGAGCCAATGAGAATCTTTGAGCGGATATTTCCCTGAAAAAATCCGCAATCCGTTTTGCCTTCTCTTTTGGCATTTCTGCTTGTTTTGAGAAGATCTGTTTGGTCCAGGGGTTGATTATTCAACTCCATTCGGATGTGTCTCAACATTGGGACCTCTCCATTTGCCGCTTGCGGTTGGGTTCATCTCAAACACACGGTTTTCAATGGAGGTGTTGTGTCCCTGGCCTTTTTGATTGATCGAATTGAATGGTTTCCTTTTGGTTTTTCCCAAGCAATTGTGAAGCGGTCTTCAACCACGAGGAAGGACAGGGCTTTCCAATAAAGGGTTGCTTCAACGCTTATTTTCAATTTCCCTTGACCCCCTCACGTTCTTTTGGCTTCTCCTTTTGGTTGTCTGCGGGGTGAGGGTTGCACCGACCCCTTGATTAAACATGTTCGAATCAGCACTCTAAGCAACCTTCTTTTGCTTGCTCTTTGGACGGGACTAGGGGTAGGTGGATTCAACAGCAAGTTGACCAGCGCCCAAAATCAACAATTCAATATGTGTGGTTTCACTACTTGGAGCCAAGCCTGTATAAACCTGTACAACCATCTTGACCGAGCCGCAGCTCAACGGGTTTTAGGCGCTGAGGCCGAACCATGTCGCCAGGTCACCGCCATCAGCCTCCACGGCGCCTGCAGCGCCTGCAAAAGGGCTTGGCGCTGGAGCGAGGCTACAGCTTTGCTGGAGATCACCAGGCGGGGGTGTGGGGGTTGCGGGGAAAGGGCTTGGCCGCTGAGTGGTTTCCAGCATTCGCTGTCATGGGGTTTACCTTGAAGGGTCAGAAGGCTTGGACAATTGCAGGATTTGCCTTCGACGCCCCGCAAGCAGCAAACACACAACCCTTTATATAAAAGGACTCCAGCAGGACGTGGTTAGGGCAGGTTTAGGGCAGAATTTGCGGTGTGGCCGATCATGACCGGGTTCGCCTTTGACTTCTTGCCTGGGCAGGCAAAGAAACCTCAGCAAAGAGGCTTCAGGGTAGGTTTTCTTTTCTTCTTCTTTTTTTTTCCGGACAGGTCCTGCACTTCTTTAGGAGTTCTTTTGATTTTCAACACCAAAATGAGGCTTGAGAGTGAGGCAGCGTGTCTTTCGTCGCACTTTTTGCAGTTGTCAAGGTTTGGGGACCAGATTTGTATCGAAAGGGGTTTCCTGGTTGCTTGCCCCGAGGTCAACGTTTGACGCAGACCCTGCCATATGCGATGCCGCAGTGGCTGCATGCGAGGCTGCGGGCGAATTCGGGCCTGCGCACTCCGTTCTCAGCAGAATGGACACGCCAGCCCTCTTGCGACAGCTGCGGCAGGAAAAAGAAATATGTTTTCGGGTGGGCCCAAATTCAGTATAAGTTATTTTCCCAGAGTACGTCCACGGTATTGTCAACCGGTTGATGAATGAATGTAGGGATAGGTAAATTCAAAAGCGCATGATATACACTGACACCCAACATTCATAGTGCTCGGCGGCACACACACACACACGCACACACATATATATATATATATATATATGCAACCATTGGTGAAGGGCCCCTACACAGACTATTATCATTAGATGTCCTTTTATGGGGTCCCTACAGTTGGGGGACACCCTGCTCCTAACCAGGGCAATGGCTGCGCCTAGGGCCGTTAAGCAGGTTATGCCGGGGTCGGGTGCGGAATAAGGGACCCTTCCACATACGTTTTCCCGGTGAGGTCTGAACTGCTGAACCCACCGGGCCTAGGTGGCTCAATTCTTATGAGAAGCAGAAAATCCCTATGCTTCTCTGATGCGCAGCTGAACCGAACCCGCTGGGCGTTGCTCCAAGTTCTGGGCACCCATGTATGAGCCTGGCCTGAGATAAACCCTGCATGGGTGGGTCATTTGCGGGGGGTGCCCCTGTGTCCTTTTTTTACAAACACCTTGCTGACCTTGTTCACGTTGATGGGGTGGGGGTTTCTTTATCCAGGTCAGCTTTACAGTTGCCAATCCATCCACCCCCGCCCCACCCACTCACCGAGTTCTGGGCATCGTGGCGGCGGCGGACATGCCCACGGGAGCAGCGCCGGCACCGCCGGCGCCCAGCCCCTGGCCGGGGACTCGGGAACCGGAGGTCGTCGCCAGGGCCTGTGGCTCCTGGGAGGAGGTGATGTCGACATTTCGCTTGTTACATAGGGCATAAGGGTCAGTAAGGCTTGCCAGAGCCAGCATATTCTATAGTTGTTTGGTAGGGAGAAAGCTGAGGTACGAGGTGTTCAGTGAAAACCCCCGCTTCGGATTTGTAAGGCGTCACTCTTTGGGCGCTTTTGTCAGTGCAAAATCTCAAAAAGTTATTTTCCCGGAGGGGGGCGGGGGCAAGGATGGGGAATAAAGTGTTGTTTTGCTTTTTCATGTTGGTTGCCATTGTTTATTTTGTAGAATCTATGGATCTCCCAAATGTAACGTTGTTGTGTTGTCAATGAATCATTGGCCACACACCCAGCCATTCAGCGGGTTCACACATGATGAATTTGCATGCACGCTTTTCTCTGCCGAAGCCGTTTAAGCCAGGAGTCGGTTACTGGTTGAGACCCCAGCCAATCTCAACTTGCATTGGTTGGAACAGGCGAAGCCCCACATACAGCCATTGAATGATCAACTTGGAAAGCTCTATTTATGATCGGTTCAAGTACTCATGTTGCAATGCACACAGGACACCCGCAGTTAATTGTTTCATTGCTTTGGGGCTGAGATCGACCATGGAATTGTCAATCAGGAATTGTCCAACAACACGTTGGCGTCATGCTCAATACTTCCAATGGAGCCAAACATGTATACTTGACAGCATGGTTCCAGCGCTTGGACACATTTGCATTGCTTGCCTCCGTTTGCATCATAGCCTGCATTTTTCCTGCTTTGGCGGTTTCTGAGGGCTAGGGTGAAATTGCAGGTGGGAGGGCGCCGGAGATTCTATCGGCGACGCGTGGAACCAGTTCACCAGCGGGGACTGCTCGTCTCGCCGCCCGGTCGGCTTCGTTGCCTTGTTACATGGCTATGTTGCAACAAATCAAGGAGAAACGAGCAAAAGCGTATCAATCAATCACGTTTTAATCGGGTGAGGAGTCAGACATAAAGTAACTAGCATTATGAGGCAAATTCGCTCGTCGCGTAGGCAATTTAGGTACAGAGTTTGCGTGGCCTGAATTGACCCCACACCATGCGTGTCAGGTGGTAGGCTCCTTGTGCAGGGCCCAGTCCCTATTTCATTTGAAACCAACCAACCAAGAAGTGGAATGCGTTTATTTTCCAAAGACGTGGCAAGGAAGAAGTCTAAAGGGTGTTTTGCTTCCGGCGGTTTCACTCGAAATCGCCTTCTTTGGCACTGACATGACAGGCTTCCCTTTGGGTTTGTCTTTTATCCCAAAGGAGGGCAGCCAAGCGCATCTCTCCCCAAAGGTTTTGGCCAGGATGCCGCAGTTGGCGGCGCCCAGCAGCTGCTTGCGAGCTGTGGCCTTGTGGCAGGCGCAGCTTGGGGCTTTGGCTGGTTGAAGGTAAAGGAAATTAAACTCACGTGCGGCTTGTGA